CTCCGTCAATTTTTGTCTAACAAGAAAAAGAAAAAACACGTGTTGACTTATTTTTCATTGACAAACGAAATCAGCAATAAAAAAAATTGATGCAAGGTGCCCATTCCATTTTGCTGAGGATTATAAGGGCTTGTATTGAATATGAATACTTTCGGTTTCACAAAAAACTTGAAACTGTTTAGAAATATATTTGCCCCCATTGTCACATCGGAGCCGTTCCAGCCTACAGTCAAATTTTGCTTCGATTATGGCTGAATACATTCTGAATTTCTCCAGCACTTCACTTTTATTTTGTAGACAATAGCATACTGTAAAATGGGAAAAATGGTCAATAAAAGTTACATAGTACCTTTTTCCATCATACGAATTTGGCGTAATAAGTCCACACACGTCCGATAAGACAACTTCTAGTAATCGTTTAGGTTTTCTATCATCTGCAAACGTCTTATAAGGTAACTTAGACTGTTTTCCTTGGTGACATGTTTCACACAGATTTTTACTTGGGTATCTATATGAATGACCCATTCTTCTGTACCATAAATCTTGATCATTTGCACTGATATCACAGGCATGTGCTACAAACATGTTACCATTAAAATTAATGATGTAAAGATTACCTTGTAATTCTCCTTCAGCAATATTTTGCTTTCCTTGCATCACTTTGACTGTATTCTTCTCAAAACATACTTTTTGTCCTTTTTCTTTTTTTTTTCTTCACAGACAGCAGGTTGTGTGACAAATCTTCACATCTTTTAAAGCACTGTGCTCTTTTGTGACCTTTGCTACCACAATAATGACATTTGAATGGAAATTTTCTGAAGCTATTTTCATGATTTTCATATAAACTGCCTGCATTATTTTGGTTTCCTTTAGAATTTCCAGTTTTATTGTAGTTTTTATTTCTTTCTAAAACCTGCAAAAACTCGACTTGAACTTTGTTCCCGTCCGTCATTTTTCATTTGTCTTGTTTCTTCTGATAACAGTATGCTTTTGACAAATTCTAAGGTCACTGTGCTTCCTTGGCAAAATAGCACATCCATTGCTATTGTCACACCCTGATAGGAGTCAGGCATTACAGCAAGCAACTGAGAAATTACGTCACTCTCTTGCATAGAACCACCACAGTTTCTTAATTCAGACACGGTCCGTTCATATTCCATGAGAAAGTCATTTAAGGGCTCGCTTCCAGAAAACTTTAAGTTTCTTAATTTCCGCTGCAAGTGAACATGACTTGCAACTCCTGTTTTCATATATGTGCTTCTCAATGTTTCTAATATTTCTCTGGCTGTTCTTTTTTCTTTTATCATTTCCAGCACGTTATTAGATAAGTAATTTATAATTAAGTTTCTTGCCTTTATATCCTTCTTCATAAAGTTCGCCATTTCACGAGATTCTGGACTAGGTGGGTCCATACTTATAATTTCCAGTACATCTTGGTGCTCGAACAACAATTTAACTCTAAATTCCCAGTTAGAGTAATTATTTCCATCAAATGGTTTAATTGCATTTTGTGCGACCGCCATTTTGACAATTTCCTTTCACCACAATCACCACGTACCGTCACGCCAGCCTTTTCGTGTCCCACTGCCACTAATTCCAATTTCTACTTTCCTTTGCTTATTTTTCACAGCTTCTCTTCCGAGATTCAAGCACTGGGCCCATAACCTGTAGATTTTCCAGTACACTAATCCAAATAAACAATATAGAAATACTTTTAGTTGGTTTTTATTTCAGAATACTAACATCGACTATTTCCTTTTACAATAATAGACATGAACAACGGTTGTGTTTTTCGAACAACGCACACGTGTTTCGGCCAAGACAATTGACACTTGACACACACATTGTTACCAAAAATGGAACTGAGTGCGGGTGTTCGTAAAGGTGATTTCAAACAGAATTGTTTAGAGTAGCAACAGACAACAGGTGCTACGTACTCTGTAAATCTATAGTAGGTACTTAAAATCTTGAATTTCGCCACAGCACGAACAATATCTACAATATTGGGCAGAGTATAAGCATCTGAATATGTAAACCTGTTAATGGTTTGAGAGTAATCTATCACCATCCTTTTCTTGTGCGATTCATTTTCCGTTACCAATCCCTGTTGCTTTCTTCTATAATTTTATTTAAAAGAAGGTTCCTTATTTCAATAGAAATAAAGTGTCTATCTTCTGAAAATCGTCTAGTCTTTGTTGCAATTGAACATACTAATACTTCTAGCAGTAGCAAGTAGGTACTTCGTTTTTATTCATACCACCAATTGTTTAATTTAATTTTGATAAGGCATTTGGTTAAACTTCCAGGTGCCGCACAAAGAAGCCCAGAAGCAGGTATAATTGAGGCAGAAGCTCTGACTTTTCTTTTGCTCAGACATTCCTTGGAGAAATGTCCACGCTACCGCATTCAGTACACGTTGAATCTTTAGCAAGGCATAATGTGCAAAAATAAAACAAAATAGTTTCGAAGACGTTATAAAAAAGTAATTTTCACATTATAATTTTTTGACCGATATCCTGTTATTATTTTTTAAAAAAATGTCTTTTAGTACTTCCACAGAAATAACATTTTTACACTTTCGTAGCAGCGGAAATGAGGTCTTCTTCATGTGTTTCTCCACTTTCAGATTGAATTGAGTTATTCACACCTTGAGAGATGCTATATGCTTCTAATGTTTTTATGTCGATTCTAGAGATGGAGCTTGATTCTTGGCCTCATCAAGTTTCAAAGTAGTATTCTCCAACAATCGTTGTCGAATTTGAGAAGAGTTTAAGCCACTAATCAAAGAATCTCTAATATAGTCGTTTTGACTTTCTTCATCGCTGATAGCTTTGAAGTTACAGTCTTTACTTAGATGTTTTAGTGCTTGCAAGTCCTCCAGGTTGCTGCTTCCTAGAGGTAAGGCATTGTCTGGCAAATATTTCATGTTTAGGTTTAATGTAAATTGAATCCAAAATCTTGATACCTTTTGAGTAAGAAGAATAGTTCATAGTTCACCGAGAGTTTCAGTTTTCCATAATTTTCTAGCTTATCAACGGATGATATGAAATTGTTGAAAGTTGCTTTCCAGTGAGTCCACTCTTGTGCAGCTTTTGGAGAGTTTTGATCAGCGTCGAATCGTTCAGGTCTTAAGAGTTTATCTATCTTGTTTATTAAATTGTAATGATTTACTGAATTACCCTTAGAAATTAGGCTTCAATAAACAAGAATTATAAACGACATTCACCAATGATGAAAAACTAATGACAGCGGCAAGTGCGCGGAAATGTCGGTGTATGTTGGTCTTGAAACGGTTCAGGTTGTAACCTGCAGGGAAAACCGTCGCAGGGAGTTTATTCCACAGCGATGCTATTCTCCAGAGATATGAATTCTGATATAATGAGGTTCTTGGTGCCTCTAGTTTGACAGTAAATTCATGGTTACCGTCTGTTTGACGGGTTCGCCTGGTAGGCGCTACTCTCGGTGGAATCATACGTGCCAACTCTTCAGAGCATTTTCCGTGATAGTACCTGTAGAATGAGATAAATCGCCCACAGATCTGCGATGTTCGAGACCATCCAAGTTACGAGTAAGTGCGGGGTCATTGATCAGCTTGATAGCTCGTTTTTGCACGGTCTTCAAAAGCATTAAGGTATGTTTGGGGTGCTGCACTCCATATATGTGAGCAGTACTCCATAGTTGGTCGAATCTGGGCTTTGTAGAGTGTCAGCAATTGGCTTGGTGTGTACAGAGTTCTTGTACGAAATAGCACCCCCAGCTTTTGGGACGCCCTTTTAGCAATATCTGCCACGTGACTGTGCCAAGACATGTTGGTCTCTGCAGTAACCCCCAAGATGTTCAACTGACTCTGTAATGTGACAGCACTTCCAGATAGCATGATGTTTGGCTCACTAATGTTTTTATGTCGATTCTAGAGATGGAGCTTGATTCTTGGCCTCATCAAGTTTCAAAGTAGTATTCTCCAACAATCGCTGTCGAATTTGAGAAGAGTTTAAGCCACTCATCAAAGAATCTCTAATATAGTCGTTTTGACTTTCTTCATCGCTGATAGCTTTGAAGTTACAGTCTTTACTTAGATGTTTGAGTGCTTGCAAGTCCTCCAGGTTGCTGCTTCCTAGAGGTAAGGCATTGTCTGGCAAATATTTCATTTTTAGGTTTAATGTAAATTGAATCCAAAATCTTGATAGCTTTTGAGTAAGAAGAATAGTTCATAGTTCACCGAGAGTTTCAGTTTTCCATAATTTTCTAGCTTATCAACGGATGATATGAAATTGTTGAAAGTTGCTTTCCAGTGAGTCCACTCTTGTGCAGCTTTTGGAGAGTTTTGATCAGCGTCGAATCATTCAGGTCTTAAGAGTTTATCTATCTTGTTTATTAAATTGTAATGATTTACTGAATTACCTTTAGAAATTAGGCTTCAATAAACAAGAATTATAAACGACATTCACCAATGATGAAAAACTAATGACAATCAATGACAAATACAATATGAATACTGGTAACAAAAATTATATACAGAAGATATCAAAACTACCACACATAAGTAGCTCAATGCCCTCGATTATGGTGTTTGAAAGCTCCTTCAATAATTTTTTCCTCTAGACATTCTGGAAATACTTTATTATTGGTATTTTTCAATTATTATCCAATTTTTTCATCAATAAAGCTAATCGTTTTTTGGCAATTTGTGATAATTCATGTGTAGTGGAAAGGGGTTTACTATCTATTCAAAACTTCATAACTTAGGGATATTTGACTGGCCGAAAATCACCTGTCTCATTAGCAGATTGATCATCGCTACCAAATGCATAGACCGTACAGCACCGATGCCAGTTGTCCACTTTCCTACGCTTGCTTGAATAGTGACCCAATCAGTAATCACATCACAGTAGGGATGTTATTGGGCTTAACTTTAAAAAAAATATGACTGTTTTAATTCAAATCTTGTTGCCGATATCGATGTATATGGATGTAAATTCAATGTTCATTCTTTATTTCAGGTTCTGCAGCAAGCAGGGAACGTAGAAAGACTGGGCAGATTCCTATGGTCGTTACCGGCATGTGATAAACTCCACAATAATGAATCCGTGCTCAAAGCTAAAGCAATCGTCGCTTTCCATAAAGGCAACTTCAAGGATCTGTATAAAATACTAGAAGGACATCAGTTCAGTCCGCACAATCATGCCAAGTTACAAGCCTTATGGCTCAAAGCTCATTATATTGAAGCTGAAAGACTTCGAGGTAAATACATAAAAAACTTTTACTAGACTCGTAATTTTGTTTTCAACTTTTTTTAAATTATTTAGGTAGGCCATTGGGCGCAGTAGGCAAATACAGAGTCAGACGAAAATTCCCATTACCAAGAACAATATGGGACGGCGAAGAAACAAGTTATTGTTTTAAAGAAAAATCCAGGAGCGTACTGCGCGACTGGTACTCACACAATCCTTACCCTAGTCCGAGGGAAAAGCGAGAACTTGCCGAAGCCACTGGTTTAACGACAGTGCAAGTTTCGAATTGGTTTAAAAATAGGCGACAACGAGATAGAGCCGCCGAACATAAAGATAGGTAAGCAAACCATATCCATAACTATATTATGTTTATTGTAACGATCATGAGTTTTGCAGTAGAGATTGATAATGCATAATAAAAGATCTCTACTTGAATTGCCGACGTTTCAACAAATTTATTGACTTCTTCAGGCTCTGCTTTTTTTATTTATATAATTTGACAAAAACGCATAGAATATAAAATTAATCCTACTACATATTTTCATTTTCATATTTTCTCAAAAGTAAAAGTGGATTTCCATGTGTCCATGTAAAATTTGTGATTGATAGTCTTTTGAAAGCATGATATTGATATAAATTTTAAATATTCTGGCCCAATCCTGTTTGTTCCCTGCTACGGTTTCTAGCACCCATGGTCTCCTGCGACGATTTTTTACACGTATCGAGTTTCTTGTCGAACGACGAAGGCAGCCCGCAGGTGAAACCCGATTCCTGATGAAACAACGGCTCGACGGGTCCCTTCTCCGACATATTCCGTTCCCGTTCTCCATATACTTTTTGGTCTTTTTGGTCCGTCGAGCCTCAGTGAAACTGAGAGGTCAGAACCATCCCATCGATGGTGGTCCAATCCTTGCCTATACTTTTTTTTTGTGTTAGGGTATAAACGTCTGTTCCTATTTATGACATTAGTTACTTGAAGTAATAATTTAAAATAACTATAAATATTAGTCACGCAGTAGTGGCGGTTCTTCAATAAAATTTTCTCGGCTGTAATTCTACAAAAAAAAATTACAATTCTGGTTAAAACCTTTATAATACGCTCATTAAACAGTTCAATATATCGCGGAATAAAATATTGAATCATGATAGGCAGATCAAATAGTAGATATATTAAAATACAATAGTAGCAGGTTACATATTCGAAAGAATTCGAAATTTGGACGAACGAATGAGTGCGCGAATAGCCTTCTGCAACGTGAGTTTTATATTATTTTCTCGATTTTGGATTTCATTTATCATTTTTTTAAACATTTTTGTAGTCGCTGTTAAATGGGATTTTTTTTTTGCAAAATATGTCAGTTGGTAACACTTAGTTACCAACCAACTGACAGGTGGATTTTATTATTTTAGAAGTTTTGACAATTTTGGAGATACCAATAAGTTTTCTCTGAAAACCAAATGTCACTAAAAATCGTTGAAGAATGGAGGTCATTCAGACATTCTCACACCAAAATCGAGAAAAATCTTTCTTTTATTTTTCCAAAACTGTACAATCGTATATTATGTAGGTACCTACTTACCTGAAGCCCTTCATGGATAAACTTTTCCAAAACTACCTCTTCTAAGATTTTTTTTCTAAATTTATCGGGGGAGAATAGTATATTAAAATACAAGTTGCAGGAGGCCACATTCCCGCACGAATTCGAAATTTGGACACGAGCGACGAAGGAGCGAGTGGACGAACGAATGAGTGCGAGAATAGCCTTCTGCAACATGAGTTTTATACTATTTCCTCGATTTTGGATTTCATTTCTCTGAAATTTTTTGTGGTTGCTGTAGTTGGGGATTTTTTTTGCAAAATATGTCAGTTGGTAACACTTACCTAACCAACTGACAGGTGGATTTTGTTATTTTGAAAGGTTTGACGATTTTGAAGGTACCAATAGGTATACTTTGAAAACTAAATGTCACTAAAAATCGTTGAAGAATTAGCGTCATTCTTCAATGATTTTGCGTGCGAGAATAATCTCACATCAAAATCGAGAGACCTAATTTTCAATCATTGAACGTTAACGTTATCGTTCGTTTAGTAGATTTTCAGGAATATCATAACCGGTTTACCTAACAGTGCAGAAGCGCAGACTATGTACAATGTTCCATACGATAGTTGGGAGTGGATGTATTAATGGCGGAAAAAAAATCATGTATAAGTCCCGTATAAACCCGGAAGACATGAGTTTAGAATTAAATACTCCCCACCAGCGTTGCCAGTCTAGTACAATTGTACTAGATCTAGTACCTCTCCAAAGAATCTGGTACGTTAGTACGTTTGACTTCAAATCTGGTACCTTTTTGTAATTTCGACACATAAATTTTCGTTTTTTATGATTTTGGTATCGATACCGTCTCGAAGCCTAAACATGTTTCGAGGGCGCGTTCACAATTAGGGCTTCGGCTATATTTGCCCCTCTTTACTTTTTTTTTTTCTGAACAAAGAACGAAAACGTCTTTTATAACAACGCTCCCAAAACTGTGTTTATAAAAATGTGTGTATATTATTCCAAAATATACTATAGAGGCCTTTTCGGAAATGCTCATCCGATAAGCCCAGTTGATGTTTTGTGTCTTTTTAAATCGTATTTATTAAAAAGAGATGAAAGACTGCTGATGATCGGGTTAATCGGATTAGCGTTTCCGAAAAGGCCATATGTTTCCATTTGTATTATTTTTTGAACCCAACCTCATCATAAAAAGAAATCTAGTACATTTTCACGAAATTTAGTACATTTTTCAAAAAATTCTAGTACGTAACTTGAAAACATTCTGGCAACGTTGCTCCCCACGTTCCTGGAAAAAAGAGATGGATTTAATTTCACCTTATGTCATATAATTTTGTCTGTTCAGCATTTTGCTCAACTTCAGTTTGATGACTTACTTACTTCATGTTTGTCGCTACCGAGTTGTCACATAGAATACTAGTTTTCAATTAAAGGAACATTCATGCTGGATCAATGTTCAGTAGTTTTCTTATGCCTGATCACAATATCACAAGGATGGCAGTTGGCAGCATCATGCTCTCTAATCATGTATGATAAAAGGGTAAACTTGAGATGGTCGATGTTGTCCAGTGCAAACAGAACATCCGTGTACTTTTATTTTGGTGCCTGAGCTGATATGTTTGTTTCTTCATATGATTTCTCTTAGGCATCCTGAGATTCAAGATGCCTGTTTGTTTGTTTTTCGACATTTATCTGTAGATTGTTGTTTTAGCTTCAAGAGGTTTGAAGTGATTTACTGGCCCCACGATCAATGTTTTGTCGGTTCGTGTTATACTAGTGTACCTATGCCAAAGCATAAGCCTCGTGGCATTTCTCCTCAAAACAATGAAGAAATTAATCGACAGGTACATTAGGGACGACAAACTGAGCATAAAGGGTTTACACCAGAAACAGTCTGCTTATCAAACAGGAAAATCATGCGAGCTGGCTTTACGCGAGTTTACGCGAGCTAACTCGCAGATCAGAAATAGCTATATACATTAAAGAAATAAAAAATAGCACTAGGAGGTTTCCTGGTCATTGGGTTTCCTAGACAAAGAAAAGGCATTTGACAACACATCATTCAACTCGATGGTTGAATCTGTGGAACAGCGTGGAATAGAGCAGCTTGTAGTAAGGTGGATTAACTCCTCACTGAGACACAGCAACTTCTTTGGGAGAAACTACCAGGACTGTGGAGGTTTATAAGGGAATGCTTATTGGGCGGCGTCCGTTCTCGTAGTGGATGAACTACTTATAGACCTAGATCGCAAAAGCATATACGCACAAGGATATGCAGACGACCTAACCATATTGGTAAACGGGAATTTAGCAGAGTGGTATGCAACAGAGTATAACTCAAACACTGTTGAAAAATGGTGCAACAAAGAAGATCTCAGGGTAAATCCACAAAAGACTTCTGCAATTGCGTTCACACAGAAGAGCTAGGAATCTTCAATACCTGAGAGGTCTCAAAATATATGGACAACTAATATAGAGAAGCACGGTAGTCAAATACTTCCACCAAAAACTGACCTTCGTGCAACACATAGAAGTAATAACAGCCAAACCCAAAAGAGGATTATGGGCATGCAAATGGCAAAAGCATAATAGGAAAAACATGAGGATTGAAACATGGGATGATGCATTGGCTTCACACCACAGTTACCTATGCATCGCTAGTCTGGTTGCATAGGGCCAGTAGTATGTCACCTAAAAAAAAGCTTAGAAAGATATAGCGACGAGCATGTCTAGGCATAACAGAGGCTATGAGAACAACGCCCACTGCAGCCATGGAGCTGCTCCTAGTAGTGGAAATGGAGGCACTGGTAGCATTATATAGATTAAAGATAAACAACCCAAGGTGGCAAGGGGGCAAACCTGTAAGACATTCCAAAATTTTCCTGATAAGAGATAGAGAAATCTCTACCAACATACATTCAGACAAGAAAATAGCTACCTTTGACTTTAACAATCCCTTCAAAATTATAAGTCCAGAAAGGGGTGGGGTGGAGAGGGCAGGAAGAGTTAAAAAACCGCAGAGGATCGGTCTGCTACACTGATGGGTCAAAGACGGAAGCAAGCACTGGAGCGAGGGTGTATGATGCAACAACCAGGGAGCGCGTTTTTATCAACCTGGGAGTGCACACAGCCGTTTCCCAAGCAGAAGTAATAGCAATTACCACCTGTGCACAAATAATGCTAGAGAGGGGATATACGGATGAACAGATTCACATCCTAACTGCCAGGCAGCATTGAAAACACTTGATAAAGCAGAAACAGAAACAGAAATTGAGTCCTCAGTTATCGAGAATTGCCGCTATACACTGGAACGCCTGGCACAACATAACAGAATTACCCTGGCCACGAAGGAATAGAAGGAAATGGTGAAATGAAGCAGCTGATAGATACGCTAACAAAAAAGCGGAAGCGTCCCAAATCGGCCCTGAACCTACATGCGGACTTTCGTACCGGACGGCATGCAGAGGCATACGGGGAAGACTAAATGAACAACACCAAAAGTATTGGATGGAACTCCCAGGGTTAAGACAATCGCGATTGTTCATCAGGCAGCCCAGCGCAGAAACGAACAGTCGATACTACTGCAACTGAGCAGGAAAAAACATCGGTATCGCAACAAGACTACTCACAGGACACTGCCGACGAAGGTATCACCTAGATATTATGGGGCGAGAAGAAGTCCTGTCATGCAGGGTATGCGGAGATGAGGAAGAAACTCCTCTCCACATACTGTGCCAATGCCGGGCACTAAGTGGTAAAAGATTCCCACACGTCGAGG